CAAACACCTCCAAATAATTTTTTCTGTTGTTTCACGTTCTTTTTGGAATAAGAAAGATAATGCAGGCTGTGTGCCGTGTTATATTGTCAAACGGATATTGTCGTGTACTGTCGGTATACGAAGCAAACAAATCATTGTTATCTAGTACCTAACTAATCTTGCAAATAATAAAATATATTGCGATAATAATGACGCTCGAGATTATTGATGTGCTATGAAATGAACCGCGACGTTATTTCCACGATATTATTACCGCGACAATATTGTCGCGATAATTTGACGGTACACCATTATTTCTTATCTAATAATATTATATCTTAGTCTGTGGTGGGTATAGTAATCCAAAATAAAACTATTTTGTGTTGGTAGATTAATCTAATAAAATATGTGAACCATGGGCAAGTCAATGATTCTTTTTAGCTCAGTTAGGTTGTATTACTATCAGAGCATATTTTAAGTAATTTTTACTGGGTGGCACTTAAATAAAACTGTCTACCAGAGGATCATAGAAGGGAAATCAACTCTTCTATCTCAACAATTTTAAATATAGGTTTATTTTCTGAACACTACTGAGACATAAATCTACATATTAACCGATTTTTCAATAATAAAATGGCTACCTACGAGGCAGAATAAACGATATATACGAGTGACGAGTACCTAGTACCTACACGAGTACACACCTCGAAGGTCTATGTTTTGTTATTGATATTCTCGATAAAGTATATAAATACCTAATTGTCAGTGTACGTGTGTAACCGTATGGTGGTATCTGTAGGCAATCGCCTACTAATATAGTTAATAAAAAATAAAAATCAATCGACTATGAAGATAACCCACAAAATATTATACTACTATAAGATACCTACCTACTGAAATAGTTGTTGCACATACACACTCACACAGACATACGCATTGTATAAAGGGAGGCATCCTAACGAGATCCACAATTTAGATACGTCATATCGACATTGGAGTAGGTAGTAAAATAATTTAAAAATCTTTTGACCATAACACACAAATAAAATTATAAGAACACTTCAGTTTATTTTAATTTTCAACTTTCATTGCGAGATCCAGAGTGTGAAAAAGTTATTTTACTAGGTTGAGAGATCTAATGAGTAAAATCTATAACTTACGAGATCCATATGTGTCTCAATATTTTAAAGCATAGTGCTTATTAGATCCATGCGCTGTTGCCAAATCATTGCAATTTGTAATCATAAATTAATTAACTAACATGCGTACCACTTCTTTAAGATAGGACATAGGTAGTGCCGGCAGGGTTGCTACGCACTCACTATTTCTCACTATTCTCACTTTATTTGAGTGTGCTCACTTTTTCGCACTTATTTCATTGATTCCTCACTTTTTTCACTTTTTTAAAGATCTATAAATGTAAATAAGTGTTAAATTAAATATTTAAAATTTTATAATTATTTATGTTTTAAGACTATTTTTAAAAATAAAAAAAATGAATTGCAGAATAAAAATCCCCGGAAAAAATCCCCAGACTACAATATTACTCATAACCTCATGAAAATGGTTGAACAAATATTTTTTAAACACTAATTAGTATCTATAATTACCACATTATTAATATTTATTTACAAATACGTATATTATATTATATTATATTATATTATACTATATTATAATATCATTCAAAAAATTAATATACATAATACTAAAATATCAGTTTCTACAGTTGTTATATTTGTTGCGGTTACCTACATTTTATTTATGTTATATAATTTAGGTAAAACCAACTATTATTAATATTTAAACAAAATTGTTTTATAAGTATAATTTATAACTTGTTTATAATAAACTGAAAAAGTAGAAAACAACTGAAAATATTTTAAACTATTGTATTTTATTTTTATGTTTTTGTTTAAAAAAACTCACCTATAATATGAAAATAATACTCACTTTTTACTTGAATATAACTCACTTAATTGAAAAAAATACTCACTTTTCTCACTTTTTTTAAGAAAAAAATTAGTAGCAACCCTGTGCCGGTATTGGGTACTGCAGTGTACACATGACACAGTTCAGTGATGTCCTAAAAAATGTATGGGTACACGCCTAAATAATTGATGTAATATAATGTGGGGGCTTTGCAGTTTTCATCCACTGACAACCGATCTGTTTTCATATATTCTTAAACAATAGGTAGCCTAAAAGCCTAAAACTGTTTGAAACAAAAAAAATCATTAGGTTACTGAACTAGAATCGTCCGTACGTTATTCGTCATGCCTATGGCCTGCGTGCACCTGCGTTCTACATACTATGATTTTTGTTATGAGTAGGCATAAGCTATAAGTAAAAAATTAGGAAGACCTTTTCTACTACACCTCTGGTACGAACCAAAAGGGGACTTACCTCACTATTTAGGTTTGCATTGCACCTGGTACATCATTAATATTGCGCTTCTCCCATCAACCAAAATCTGTATAATAAGTAAAATAGATACGTACCACCTATTTAGTATTTATGGTACCTAATGCACATTGTAATTCGTATACCTAAATAGTTTAAGCAGCCTACCTAGTTATGTTAATACTATTAAATACATTTTTAATTTAGAAGTAAATTAGTCATAATAGATTATACACCAATGTTTATGCAATGTTTATGCTCCTGTCATTGGCTCTAGACAACGCCCTTTTAACTTTTGCTCTGACCTGATCTTGAATTAGGCTTAGGTATCATGGTAAGTTGCTCGTTTTGTGTTCAAATTGGTAACAAAATCATTATTTTCAAGCAAGATATGAGTATATAAATTATCAGAATCTAAAAATGCTCATATCTCGCTTGAAACCTAGAAATAATGGATAGGTATAACAGTCTCAACGTGAAGTTTGATAATATGTAAATTCACTCTAATATTAAAATAACAACACATAAATGGAATGATTATATCTGTATTTATTATAAAATTTAGTAGCTTGCAAAAAATTAAATAATAACATTTTTTACGTACTATTATTACTACTATAATAATATAGTAAATAGTAATAAAATTTTATGATTATTAGGTAAGTACTTCATTTTATATTTATAGCTATTGGCAGCATTGTGCACAAAATCTTTTATTTTTTTCCATGCCTTATTAATTTTATTTTGTTTTGCAAAATTTTCACATTCATGTTTTTTGGGAGCTTTATTTAAAAAAATGTTATTTTTAAAATGTTTAGTCATTATTTGTTTTTCATTTTCTGTCCACGGTATAATTTTAATATTTTTGTTAAACATTTGTTTTTTTACTAAAGATCACTGAAAATATTTTGCTAGTCCAATCGGTAGGATTCAATAGTAGCATAAATTCTACCTATATATTATATTTTGGAAGAAGATTGTGTTATAATTTAGGTTAAATATAATATCTTGATATTATTATTAACAACCACACACCCAAGGTAGTTTAAGTACTCTGCGAGATCCACATTATATCTATTGATTGAAATTCGTTACGAGGTCCATTTAAAAATATCAAATTAACAACCTCACACACACACACTAGGTAGGTAGTTAAACGTCTTTGCGAGATCCATATTATATAATATATTGATTTATTTTTCGAATTTCGTTACGAGATCCGTATAAATATATCATATTAACAACATCACACACACTAGGCAAATAGGCGTGCGGACGGGGCGAGCCGGTCAAGCCCAGGCTTGACCTGAAACTTTTTAGGGGCATAGTAAAATGTGCGTATATATTTAAATATTTTGTCATAAAGCTTATATTATAATAATTTGTTCGTGGAGATTATGAAATCTTTAAAAATATCAAATTAACAACCTCACACACACACTAGGTAGTTAAGCTACTGTGCGAGATCCACATTATATAAATAGATTTATTTTTCGAAATTCTTTACGAGATCCGTTTAAATATAATATCATGATATTATTATTAACAACCACACACACAAGGTAGTTTAAGTACTCTGCGAGATCCACATTATATCTATTGACTCCAATTCGTTACGAGATCCGTTTAAATATATCAAATTAACAACCTCAGACACACACTAGGTAGGTAGTTAAACGTCTGTGAGAGATCCATATTATATATATATTGATTTATTTTTCGAATTTCGTTACGAGATCCGTATAAATATATCATATTAACAACATCACACACACTAAGCAAATAGGCGTGCGGACGGGGCGAGCCGGTCAAGCCCAGGCTTGACCTGAAACTTTTTAGGGGCATAGTAAAATGTGCGTACCTATATATTTAAATATTTTATTATAAAGCTTATATCGCACCATCAGAACATTAGTGTTGCAACTCAAAAAACCATGTTTTGAGAAAAACGAGTTTTTGATTTTACAGCATTGTACAACACCTGTAAAACATTATGTATTCCACGTATCATCATCAAATTTTTTTTTCAAATTGTCATGACATTTATGTATATATTTATAACATCAAGTTAAAAAAAAATATTTTTCATCATATAGAAATTGACTTTTTTTTGAGTTAATACAGTAATGTTATAGATATTTCATAACAAATTACCCAATCACTACAATAGTAACTTAAATTTTTAATTTGAAATGTTTCCATTTTTAATGAAATTAAAAACTTTAATATTGGATTTTATATAGGTAGGTACCTAATACTTACTTTTCTGAGAAGTATAAAAAATATGTACATAAACTAAAAAAACTAAGACAATATTTCAAAATACAAATTATTTTTTTTTTCAAACAAAAACTAAAACATAACCTTTTATAAAATTAAAATAAATTTTGTGAAACCTTTTTTTTAAAAAAAATAATAAAAATAAAATAATACTAATTAAAACAACGAGATTCTTAGGTGAACTATATTAATATAATAAAAAATGTCTTAAAGACGATGAAATAAAAAAAAAAAAAAAACAATTTCTATTAGGTTTATAAAAACATAATATTTTTAGTATCTTTTCAAGTTATATTAATTGAATAATTTTTTCTTCACATTTTTCTTTTTTTTTTTGTCTAAAACTTTTTTGGTCTTCTGTCTTCTGTTTTTTTCTCAGTCTTCTTTGTAGTTTTCTTTTTCGTAGTCTTACTATTTACTGGTTGCTTAGCCGTTTGTGGGGTTATCATTGACTCGTTGTGTTGTTGTTGTTGTTGGTCTGTCAATAAACTTTCGAAAAAGTGATGATACTGTTCAGGTATCAAGTTAGAGTGGCATAATGAAAGAAGATCTTCTTTTTTAGCTAACGAAAGTTTTGGAGGAGAATCATAGGCACATTTTATTTTAATATCATTTTGTTCTGGATAAGACTGATTTCTTTTGCCATGACTTCTTATGTCTATAGTCTTATACTCATTTTGGGAAAAATCTGTTTTGTAGTAAATTTTGAAAGGGTTATTTTTTTTGAAATTAATAGCCACAATATCCCCCATTAAAATTTTATCACCATCTTCATTAAAAGAATAATTGTTACCCATGTCGTTACATAACCTTGTAAGATCTAAAAAATCCTTTGTGTTCATCTCTGTTGTTGAATAAGGCTTTCCATTTTTTTTTGCTAATTTTATTATTGACACCCATTGTGCTGGGATGTATACAGGTCCGCTTTTTAAAGCACGTTTTTTCTGATTTTCAATTCTGCTGTGCATTGAATCAACGGGCATTTGTGTGTGACCAGTTGTTAAGAACTTGTGGGTTATTTCCGAAATATTTAAAAACATTACAATGTACATGTATACAGAATATATATATATCTATTTTTGTTTTGTCCATTGCAATTATCAGAATAGAATGTTAACTCAGTTTTTTCATTTGGCACAAACTTCTCAATAAATTTTAAAATGCAACTTCCAATTTCTATTGCTCCTCTATTACCGACACTTTCATTCCAAATAAAACAGTGGCCTTCATTATTATTAGAATTAAATATTGTAAAGTTATAAGTGGCCAATCTACGTTTATAATAAAAACTAGATACTTCGCCAGAGGGTGTAGGCAACACAGCTTGTAAATCATAAAAATAAAGACCATGGTTATTGTTTGTTTTGATAAAACGTGTGTCATTAACAATTTCATTTCTGGCATCTTCTTTATTTTTAATGTGTTTATCAAATTTTTTTTCTAACTCTTCAGATTTTGTTATGGTATTTTTATATTCTTCGCAAATACAACATTGGTCCTTTTTCGGAGAAAAAAAACCTATATTAAACTCGTAATTAAAAATATACTCATATAAATGTTTTTTTACAGGTTTAATATTTTCATTTCCACACAATTCTAAGTACATTCTGTACATTTCTGATAATGTCAAACTTCCATCAATAAATTCTCTTTTGGTTTGACTTCTTAAATAGTGCGATTCAATTCTAGGATATGAGTTTATATGATTTCTCACAACTATTTTTTCTTCTTCGCTGACTGCTTTTCTATTTTCAACGTGTTTTCCCCGTTTATCCTTCTCTGTACTTCCTGACTCGTTTATTTTTCTTCTAGCAGTGGTTATATTAGTGTCATTAATATTTAACGTTGCTTTAAAAAATTTTTTGCAAACTCGAATTTTTGAAGTACTTTTTCCTACGACATTAAAGAAGTATTGCAAATTATTTGATCTTGTAGAATTAATTTTTTTATATTGATACTTAGGTTCTACAGTTTCTACATGACAATTAATAAAATCCCGTTGCCGATTGATATCTCCAAGTGCCCAATATTCTGAAAAAATGTTTTCCCTATGTTCCTCATTTATTTTGTCGTTACATTTTATTCTACATTTCTGATCACATGGTTCGAGTAATTTTCTGGCTGGCTTTTCTACTCCTTTAACTGTTTTATAAGATTCGCCTAAATTTCGTTTTGCCTTTTTAACTTCTCTTTTCCACAAATTTGTATTTCTACGCCTCTTCTTAGATTTTTTTAGTGGGGTGTCATTGTTTACAGCTATTGCAGCAGGGTTGTTATCAAGAATAGCAAAAGTGTTAGTGATGATAGGAATTTTTTGAATTTCATTTATACCAGAAATACAAAAGCTTTGATTACTAATAATATCAGGATCATTTTCTGGAGCCAAATTTTTATCATTAACTTCTATTGGTGCACTTATACTTGGAACTGTAGTAAAAATATTATCCATCAAAAATCCATCTGTATCATTATTATACTCAAAAGTTGAAGGCCCTTCTAGTAATTCACGTAAATTAATAATTGAATATTTAGTAGAATTTTGATCTACATTGTTAGTGTCTACTTCATGATTTGTCATTGAACTATTAATGATGTTCCCCTCTGTGTTTTTAAATTCTACTTCATAGTTTTCTATTGCACTGTTTGGGTCTATCAAGGAGAAATCATCTCCTAACCAGTCTTCTAACCAGTCCTGAACTAAATTAAAGCTTGTATTATCAAAATCAGTAGAATTATTTTCTGTTAGATTCTGAAAAGTTGAGTTGGTTCTCTAAAAAAATATTAAAAAGTACTAATAGTAATTATAATGCGAATAATTTTTTTTATTAAACAAACAAATTAAAATATTAAACGACGAAAGGTCGAAAAGTAGGTACCTATTTGCCTACATAAAGTGATTGTTCTAAAAAATACACTTAATAGAAATAATATTGAATGAACGAGCAACTAGTCGGTAGTGAATTAGACGTATAACAGATAATAATATAATATTATAGCGATATTAAATATTGTTTAGATATACCTATTTTATTCTATTTATTACGACGTTTTCTATTATGATTTATGATGGTATTGAACGTTATTTTTGCCAGACTAATGAATAAATTTTTTTTTATTTAAGGTGTTATGAAATATGCTCATTTTTAAGTTTTAACCTGAAATAACATATCTAAATGTAATACAATCATGTATACAAAATGACGTGTCTTAGTTATTATTAAGTATAACAGCTATAAGTAGCTCGCTATAAAAATAATAAAAAAAAAATGCAAAAAATGAATTATTGATTGCGATAGGATCGAACTAGGAACCTCGAACATCAAAGATCTTGCCCCATCCCAATGCACCATGAGATCGATACCGGCGACTCTCAAAATTAAATTATATAATATAACACGTTTCTCAGTAAACAAATAGCCAATAGGTATACCTACACAAATAAATGTTATCTTTAACTACAATTAAATATCAAACCACAATATTTTATTTGAATTTTTATCTTAATAACAATAATACATTGGTATCTTTGTTTATATTACGTTATGTAATAATATAACTGCACATAATAGGTAGGTACCTACCTATCAACTTTAATATTATAACTTAATTATTTTTCATAATAAATAACCTTTAAATTAAAAAGTTTATTAAACTATTAATTTAAACACAATTTGAGATTTTAAAGTTATGGGTAGCTGTTAACTTACCTTAGGTATTGGATCTAAATCAACATCGACATAAGCAGTATCTGAACCTTCAGCGTAATGATTATTTTTTTTTGTTGCTAATTTTAGCATTCGTTTAGCACGTGAATTCATTTTCATAAATATAAATCAACTTAAGAATATTTGTACATTAATGTTCACTCAACTCAATTTCATATTAATCTAATTATTCTAATTATGATTATATTATCTCATAATGGATCATTAAAGTATTATTATTATAATATTATAAAAAACAATGATAGCCAATTAAATTAATAATAGTATTATGATAAGTGATAAAAATTTCAATTCACAGTGCAGTAGTGTATTATTTCGAAAAAATACAGTACTGCACTAACTATTTGTTAATATTGAGTAGCAATAGTGTATTATTTTGAGATACCACACTATTCCATTTATAGCCACCAATTATTTTCCTAAATGCATTACCGTATTTTCTGATTTAAGTTGTTTAAAACTGTAGATACGAGATAATACGGTAGTGCATCGTAAAGAACGACATTTTTACCATTAGAAAAGATGTATAACTCAAAATCGTCAATTTTTGAGTTACTACACTAATGTTCTGATAGTGCGATATTATAATAATTTGTTCGTGGAGATTATGAAATCTTTAAAATTATCAAATTAACAACCTCACACACACACTAGGTAGTTAAGCTTCTGTGCGAGATCCACATTATATAAATATTTATAATAGATTTATTTTTCGACATTCTTTACGAGATCCGTATAAATATATCATTATATTATTAACAACCACACACCCAAGGTAGTTTAAGTACTCTGCGAGATCCACATTATATCTATTGAATCCAATTCGTTACGATATCCGTTTAAATATATCAAATTAACAACCTCAGACACACACTAGGTAGGTAACGTCTGTGCGAGATCCATATTAAATACATTGATTTATTTTTCGAATTTCGTTACGAGATCCGTTTAAAAATATCATATTAACGACCTCACACACATTAGGTACCTAGGGAAATACTCTGCGAGATCCACATTATATAAATTTATTTTTTTTAGGATGAAAATAACACCAAAATACCAAATGTAAAATAGCACATAACTAGATCTATAGCAGTGTACATTTTGTGTACTATACCTACACATTTTGTAAGAAGGTTGTGTTAGTTTAAACATAATTATCATATTCAATTTCAATTTCTCACTCACACAAAATAGTTAAGTCGGTGGCATAACTGGATAAAAACTGAAGGGGAAAATAATTTATTCATCAAAATTCAAACTCCGACATAAATATACATATTAACCGATTTTTCAATAATAAAATGGCTACCTACGTGGCAGAATAAACGATATATACGAGTGACGAGTACACACCGCGAAGGTCTATGTTTTGTTATTGATATTATCGATAAAGTATATAAATACCTAATTGTCACTGTACGTGTGTACCCGTATTGTCGTATCTGTAGGCAATCGCCTACTGATATAGTTAATAAAAAATAAAAATCAATCAACTCTGAAGAAAACCCACAAAATATAATACTATTATAAGATACCTACCTACTGAAATAGTTGTTGCACATACACACTCACATCATACACACACGCTACGCCACTGATGTAAGTTGTACATCCGTAAATCCGAGTAGGTATCATATTATTAGAGATGGGAATTTTACCCTTAATTTTTTTTTAAATATACGTAAGTATAAGTGAATTTTTAATACTATATATTATTTTTATTTAGTAAATTTAATACGAACTCAAAACATTTTTATAACTAAGCTAACCATTTAACCAATATAGGTACTCTTCCACTCCTTAATACAAGTATTATGTTTATATATATTATATGTGTGCCTACCCACAAACGGGTATGCCAGGGGGTGCTTAGCACCTCCAACTTATATTAGTTATATTGGACTAAAAATATTTTAAGTATTTCGGATATGATGGTGTAAAAAATTGTCTTGGTAATAATTATTTGCTGGAAGATCTCAAGTTGAAAAATAGAAACATTATTTCTATTACTTATCAACTGGGTTTTCATGTACACAGACATGAAATATATTATTTTTAAAACACACACATATCATTGTTAAATCATTACATTCATGCTCAGAATCTAAAAATATAATATGGTCATTTCAAAACTAGAAGTAATTGTACTTTAAAAATTCTGATTATGTTAAATAACATTTTTGGTTTAAAAAATTATTTAAAAAATGTTCTGTTATTATATTTTTAAATCTTATTTTAAAACCTTACATTTTTTA